CCTTCCCGCTGTTGTCCTTAAGCTGCCATCGGCCCCCAGGCTCTGGAAGCCGCTACTGCCTGGGGTCTGGAAGGTCTCTGCTCAACTGCTCTCCCCCGATCTGCTTCCATCAGCAGCTTCTGGAGTCCAGAGATTCCCAGAGGGGCCTCTGGGAGGGCACCACGGTGGGCAGGGCCCAGCATTGTGGTCAGTTGGGGAGATCTGGTGCCGCTTCCACTTCCAATAATGCCTGTCCCTGTATGTTGCCAGCAGCTGCCGTGGGGACATGGGGCTCAGGCACTCCCAGCTGGCTTTCTGGAATTGGGGTCCCCACAGAATATGGGGGTATTCACATCTCTGCCAGCCCTGCTGGCGTGTGGTCCTGAGAAAGCCTCCGGGTGGAACAGAGTGGGGTTGTGAACATGGCAACCCGTCCTCCTCGCACCCACACGCTCTTGGCGGACACTGGGTTCCAGGCTGCCACCAAGAGCATGTGCCCAGCTCCCGCTTCCCGTGTCTGGGGTCAGCCGTGACGCCCAAGCCACTCTAACTGGGTCACGGGGAGCCCAGAGCCTGGGGTCTGATGGGGAAGGTCACCAGGTCCCTGAACCTGTCCCCAGGTTCTTTATCTTCTAGAGTTTGAGCAAAGCCGTTAAAGGTGGAGGAGAAATCGGGGCCTCCCCAGGCCAGGGCCCTCTGTGAGTGGGGCCTCTCCCTGTGGGTGGAGCACAAACCCACAGGTGGTTTCATTTTTCCTCTCCATTGGGGGCAGCTGGGCTGAAGGGTGGGCGTGCGCTGGGGCAGCCTGTGAAGTGTGTCTGCCGACTGGCACCTCTAGGGAAGTGGCTGCTTGCCGGGAGGGAGGGCGGCCACAGGGACGGCTCCTGCTGGGTTCTGAAGATAGATAGGCGTCCCCACCCCCCCGCCCCCGCCTTCTCTAGCTCTGATGATTGGGTCTGGCACACTTTGCTTCCCTCCCTCTTGGTCTGTCCATTTTTTGTCTTCCTAATCCTGCGTGACCCCCAGCTGGGTGCCTTTGCTCCCTCCTGCCCAGCGCTCCTGTTCCCACCGGCTCTCGCCAGGGCAGGGAGGCGTCCTTGGTGAGTCACCGGCCGTGCGGGCCAGCGGGTAGGGAGCCTGGGCGAGGTTGCAGTCTTTACATAAGCTGCTCCTGCCAGGCCTCGTGGCAGCCGGAGTAGCTCCGAGATCAGCAGAACCAGGGGTTTCGCTGGGGATTGCACCCTGGGCGAGGGCCAGCTTCCTCCTTGCTGCTTTCTAAAAATGACCCAGTTCCCAGAAGGGCTGTGGGGAGGGAAACATCGGGTTTCGGTTTCTGTGACAGGGAAGCCAGGGAGAGAGGCCACTTCCTTGCCCCCTGCCCTCACCCCGACATCCTGTGATTCAGCGGGGGACAGGCAGGTCCCAGCAGCCCTGGCCGCCTCCCTTCCCTGCAGACCGCCTGCCCACCGCCAGCTGGGAGGAACCTCTGGGCCAGGTGGTGGTTTCTTCCCTTCCTCTGTTCAGGGGGCCTGAGACCCTCCCCGTGGGGGTCCCGTAAACTTCCTGACCATGTCTCGTGCTTCAGAAAGCCTGTTTCCCCTCTGGAGGGGCTGCTCGCCCCTCCTCCAAGGACCCCTCCCTTCTCTCTGTCCCCATCTCTGACCACACGCAGGCTGAGTCCTCGTGTCAGTCGCCTGCTTCCGGCTCATGAGGTCCTCACAGCCGGGGATATGGAGAATCCATCCACCGTTAGCAAGACCAGGGGAGCTTTCAGAAACCTGCTAGTGTGTCGGTGGCGGGCAGGTGGAGAGGGAAGGCGGGCGCCGGAGCCAGACTCCTCAGGACCACGGAAGCACACGTGGGGGCAGGTGTGGCCCAGGGGGGAGGGGACGGTGGGCCCATGCAGCCTGGGGAGGGGGCACCCTGCCAGCATGTGCCCTGGTAGTGCTCTGGCGGGGGACCCGCGGGGGAGGCCCGGCTCACCCTGGCTGTGGCTGCCGGGACCGGGCTCAGCTGGCCGTGCCCAGCTCCACCCTCTGTGGGGAAACCGGCTTCCCCGGCGGCACCAGCTTGTAGTTTCTGAGTCTGTGTTTCTGCAATATGTACCAGCTCCTGGCTGCTGCTAAAGGGGTTATGCTACTGGGTGTGGGCACAGTGGTGGTTCAGACCCTGGGTTGGTCAACCCGTGGGTGCCTCCGGGTGATGTGAACTCTCTAGTGCACTGCTTCTTTGGATATGCACCCCTGCTCCCCCATGCTGGACCCCCTCTCTCTACCCAGGGCCCTTTGGGGGTGTCCTAGGTATCCTGGGGCTGAAGGCTTTTTTCTGGGGAAGGCCCCACCGAAGCCAAAATTGTTGCGGGCAAGTGACTGTGGCCAGCCGGGTGGGCCAGGCCCTCAAACCCCGCCCCCCCGCCCCCCCCCGCCCACGGTCTGGGCACCTTCGCAAGCCTGGGGGTCTCAGAGAGCAGCGGATGTGACTGGGCCAGGAGGAAGCCTGGTCCCAGGCTGTCACAGCTTCCTCTTCAGTGAGGAAGCACTTTGAGGGCGCGGGAGGTAAGGGCTGGGCGGGGCGGTGCTCCCAGTGTTCCAGCACTTTTTCTGTCTGGCCTCTGCCGTCTGGGCTGCCCCACGCCCTGGACTTGGGTTACGCAGGTGCCCAGAGTGGGTCCGACGACCCCTGCATCTGCCCCGAGCACTTGCCGCCCCCTCCCCCTCCCTCCCTGAGCCCCGAGGCAGGGGCTGGGCTTCTGGTGCACCTGCCTACCATCTCTGCACAAGTTGGGGGCACGCGGCCTCAGGAGCAGGCCGTCCCGTCTGTGGTGGAGAGCGACTGGGGCAAAGTGGTGTGTTTTTGTGCATTTGTTTTTTGGCCGCGCCCTGCAGCATGCGGGATCTCAGTTCCCCAAACAGGGATCGAACTCGTGCCCCCTGCAATGGAAGCGCGGAGGCTTAACCACTGGACCACCAGGGAAGTCCCCAAAGTGGTGTTTTTATGCCAAATGTGTGGGCCTCACGTGTGTCAAAGCTGGGCCATCACCTTGTCCAATCCCTTCGCTTAACAGAGAAGGAAACTGAGGCTGTGCCGGTCACGCTGCTTACAGGCCAGGGCTCTCAGCACTGCCCTATGAAGATGGTTAAGTGGCTCCCCGGGAAAATGTGCCCCAGCCCTGCCTCTGCTCTCCAGGGCCGCGCCACTTCTCTTTGGGATCCCTAGGATTTCCCTGGGGTTGGTCTGGTCTCACCAGTCCTTCGGCCTTGGATTGAGTCTGCCCTTCTTCCTGTCAGAAGATTGGGACAGATGCCAGCAGCACGGCAAGTCCTGGGCTACGGGTCCCAGCCAGGGGTGGTATGGCCTTGGGATGGGAGGGCTAGTTGGGGAATCTGGGCTGTGCTGGAGAAGGGGGGAAACAGGAGGTCCTCTGGGGACTCATCCTGGGACAGCATCCTCCATCCTTGGCCGGGCAGTGGTCACAGAGCAGGGGTGGGGCAAGCAGCACTCGGTAGAGCCTTCCAGAATGAGCCACTTCCTGGGCTGGCTGCAGGATTCTGGAAGACAGTTTCTGTTCAGGGTCAGTGTGGACTGACCATCTGCAGCCGTGCATGCGCCCACCCTCTCCCCCGCCTTCCATCCAGTTAGCCATTAACAGGGCTAACTGGGTTGTGGACCCTGTGTTGCCCAGGGGTGGGTGGGAGATACCTACAGGTAGGCAAATCTCTGTAGGATGCTATGAGAAAGTGGTTGATTTTGGCTGGTGGTAACGCGACAGGCTCCCTGGAGGAGATGACACTTTACCCTCCTTAAAGCAGCTGGTAGGTGTTGGCCAGGCAGATGGGGTGGAGCCTGGTGGGCCAGGTGCAGGGCCTCAGATGAGAGGAAGCAGGAGCTTGGGGAGCTGTGGGGGTGTGGTGTGTCCGGTGGTGTGTGGGGCAGGTTTTGAAGGGCACTGGTGTTGACTGTGGGGGGATGTAACCAGCTGTGAGCTCCAGCAGGACCCTCCCTGCTTGGTGACCTTACCCAAGCTCAGACCTGGCAGCCCCACGCTTACCACCAGCCTTCCTCCACTGCATCCCTCCCTCCTTGGTGCTAGTTTCCAAGGGCATTGCCCACCTGGTGCCTTCTCACTGTACCCTGGTCCCAGAGGAGGCCAAGCTGGAGAGCTTTCTGTGCAGGCGTCCCAGGTGAGGCTGTTGTCTTGGAGCCGTCCCCAGAGTGGTGCAGAGCGGCGTCCGAGGCGCCAGCCAGGCCGGCACCACGTCCCGTCTGTGATCTCCGAGTGACCTCATCATCCACGGCCTGTCTGCCCTGGGATGAAGGGTCAGGGCTCCCTGCACTAAGGGTAGAAGGGTGACGTCCAGGTCTTGCTCAGGCCTTAAGCAGGGAGCGTCCTGGGCCTCCAGCTCTGCCTCAGATCCCTCTCTGGCACCCCCTCCGCACCCAGAGCTCCTCTCACTCACCTGTAGTTGGACGACTTCAGCAACCAAGTGAAAGACCCCGCTCTAATACGTAAAGCCAGAGGGGTGCTGCCCATGGAATCAGAGGGGAGCCCAGACCCTCCCCCGGCCTCCAGTTCACCCCATGGCAGCCCCTTGGGCACCTCTGGGTAACCCCAGCCCTCTGAGGAACACAGTTTGCAAAGTGCTGAGATGCTCAACCAAGGTTCCCTCCAGGCTGGACTCTCTACTCTGTCTCCCTGATAGGAGGCTGTCCAGCCCGAAGTGTACCCCAGCTTTAAGGAGAGGGGGGGCGCCTGTTTCCCGAGGAGACCTCAGGCCCTATAGCCAGAGCAGTTTGAGTCCCAGCTGCTCTCCTTCCTGGCTGTGTGAGCTTGGGCAAGTTACTCAATCCCTCTGAGCTTCCATTCATTTTTTGTTTTTTGTTTTTTTCTTTTTTTTACTGTACGCGGGCCTCTCACTGTCGTGGCCTCTCCCGTTGCGGAGCACAGGCTCCGGACACGCAGGCTCAACGGCCATGGCTCACGGGCCCAGCCGCTCTGCGGCACGTGGGATCTTCCCGGACCGGGGCACGACCCTGTGTCCCCTGCATCGGCAGGCAGACTCTCAACCACTGCGCCACCAGGGAAGCCCTGAGCTTCCATTCTTATCCACAAAATGAAAGTGATGATAATGTCTATCTCGAAGGGTGTTTTGAGGACAAAGCAGGATAATGCACGCGAAGGGCCGAGCAAGGCCTGGCCCACCTGGGGCCCTGACCCTGTCCTGCCCCCGACGGCCCTCGGCGTTCTATCAAGCTGGGGCTGCCGAGTGCTCTGCTACATGGCAATGTCCCCTATGCGGGACTTCTCAGAAACAAAGGCTTACCCTGGAGTTGTTCACTTTTTTTGCACCAAGCTGCATATGTGGCATCTTAGTTCCCCGACTAGGGCTAGAACCCGTGCCCCCTGCCGTGGAAGCACAGTCTCTTAACCCCTGGACCACGAGGGAAGTCCACAAGTTGTTCGCTTTTTAATCCTTACTTTTATGTTGTGTGGATTTTACCTTAAAAAAAATTATTAATTTAAAGAACCAAAACAGCAGCAAAACATTTCCGAATCATTTGAACACTGCCTTGAATATTTGGCTTACTTTAATTGAAAACAGCTCTTAATCAGAAGATAGCCAATAATGCCTGCGTTTTTTAAAGTTAAATGTTTCTAGTAAAGTTCTGTAGAAACAGGAAAAGAAAGTAGGGACCATCTTGATTATGGTTCCCAGCCCAGAGCCCAGGTCTTTAGGTGGTTTTATTAGGTAAATGCCCAGAGGCTGCTGGCCTCCAGGCACTCTGAAGCATCCAGCTCATCACCACAAGGGCCTTTACTCCAGGGGGAGGAGGAGGAGAATATATCTCTTAATCCCTCACCTATGAAGCTGGTGGAATTATCCCCATTTTATAGATGAGGAGACTGAGGTAAATTAAGATTAAAAGGTGCAGTAGTCCTGACATGCACCCTTGAGCCTGCCCTCCCTTCCTTATAGGCTGTGAGCACCAAGGGAGCTGCCCTGCTTGACGTGGAGCCATCCGTCCATCTTTCCTTCTGTCTGCATCCATCCACCTCTCCGCAGAGCTGAGGCTTCACCCCAGAGCATCTGTGCAGAGTGAGGAAAGGACTAGAACATGCTCTAAAGTCCTCTGCAACAAGACCCAGGAAGGTGTGAGCTCAACACAAACCCTGAAGGTAGGAAGCTGGGTAGCCGAGTGGGCTGGACCCCAGGTACCAGCTGCTTTGCTTGCTTGCTTATCTGATTTTCAACAAATACGTACTAATGCTGCATGGGGGCCAGCACTCTTCTGGCAGTGGAGATGCAGCTGCGAATGAGTCAGAAAGAGGGCAGCGAGGGAGGTGAGCAGGGTGAAGTGATGGAGAGGCACATGGGGTAGAGGGGGCGCTGCCTCAGGCAGCCAGGGAGGGCTGCTTGGAGGAGGTGGCGCTCAAGCTGGGACCAGAATGATGAGAAGGAGCTACCTGCTCTGCTGTGTGATGATCTTATCTGGGGAGGAAGGGACCAGCAGGGGCAGAGGCCCAACGTTTATGGAGCACCTGCTGGAGACTTTTTTTTAACCAGCTTTACTGAGATATAGTTCACATTTAATTTATGTAATTCCCATAAAACTCATCCATTTAAAGTGTACAGTTGAATGGTTTTTAGTATATTCACAGGTGTATGTAACCATCACCACTGTCAACTGTAGAACATTTTCATCATCTCAGAGTGAAACCCACGCCCCTTAGCTGTCATCCTCCAGCCCCCTCCCCCAGCCCTAAGCCACGACTCATCCTTCTGTCTGTATAGATTTGCCTCTCCTGGACTTGTATTTGGACCCCTGGAGCAAGTGGTCTCTTTGTGTCTGGCTTCTTTCGCCGGGCATAACATCCCCCAGGCTCACCCGTATTGTAGCCTGTCTCAGCGTAGCGTTCCTGTTCGTGGTTGAGTGACAGTCCACTGTGTGGATTTAGCACATTGTTTTTATCCACGTGTATGTCTTTTTTCCACAGGTTATAGTACACTTTTTAAAAAATCTTTATATTATAGTTGATTTACAATGTGTTCGTTTCAGGTGTACAACAAAATGATTCAGTTATACGTGTACATTTATCTCTTCTTTTTAAGATTCTTTTCCTATATAGGTTATTACAGAATACTGAATAGAGTTCCCTGTGCTATACAGGAGGTCCTTGTTGATTATTTTATGTATAGTGGTGTGTGTATGTTAATCCCAACCTCCTAATTTATCCCTCCCCCCATCCATTTGTATGTCGGTGAGCATTTGGGTTGTTTATACCTTTGGGCCGCAACGAACAGGCCGCTGTGAACGTTCCTGAACAAGTTTCTGTGGCCATGCTGCCTGAGTGTGTGTCATGTGTACAGTCGTTTGATGCCCAGGACACCTCTCCGGCGGAGCGGGTTATTCCTCCCTTGTAAGGTGAGGACTTGGGTGACCCATGGTCAAGTGCAGGTCAAACCCTGGCCACCCGGCTCCAGTCTGTGCTTTTGACCACAAGCCCTCAGCACCTCCTCACAGAGGCTTGGCAGGTGCGGGGCGGTGAGGGGCCCAGGGTGGCCTGATGGGGTGGGGAAGGAGCAAGGAGGAGACAAAGCCACAAAGGGTCCAGAGGCCCCAGTGAGAAGTTTGGACTTTGCTTTAAGTGAGAGCTGGAGATCCTGGCCTAGCATTGAGCGGGGAGTGACATGGTATGATTTGCACGTTTCAAAGGTGGATTCTGCCGCCGTGTGGAAAATGGTCCCGGGGTGGGAGCTCGGGGGGCAGCAGGTAGAGGAGTCTGGAGGCTGTGGTCCTTCAGATGAGAGGCAACGGTGGCTCTTCTAGGAGCTGGACAGAGAGTGGGGAGCGGACAGACTGGGAACAGAGGTGGCTGCTGCCTTGCCCGGCCGTCCCACACCTCGGCGCCCGTCCCATGGCTGGAGGGCTCCTGTGTGACTCTCCCCTGAGTTGGCAGATGGATGTGAGGTCCCTGGCCTTGTGCGAGGGGAGAAGAAATCAAACCTGCCCCAGCAGCCTTGGGACGTGGGGAGAGGAAATAGTGAAGGGTTTTAGCAAGAAAAAGGTCACGGGCAGTGTGAGAGATGAAATGGAGAGAATAGATGAGGCAGAGGTGTTAGTTCTGGTGGGTCAAAGGGGGTGTGGGTGTCAGTGGCACCATCGATGGCTATGGAAAAGCCCCGGGTGGAGGTAAACTGCTACTTCCTCCTGGCTGGGCCATTTGGCAAGATCCATTGAAATTCAAGATGCAATTACTCTTCAATCCAGCAACTCCACTTCTAGAAGTTCGTCTTGCAATAATACTGGGACAAGTACACACGGTATAGGCAAGGGTGTTCGTTAACACTGGACATGAACCTAAACAACCATCAGTCTGGAATTAAGTAAATCTTGGTACATTGCACTCAGTGAAACCTTCCCAGTCATCAAGAAAGATCAGGTCAAGCTATCTGTCTGCATTGACAGGGAAGGATGTCCACGCTATAGAAGAAAAGGTATGAGTGCATGTAAAATGTTAAGTACACGTGTCCTTTTCCAAGTGCAGAGAGGCACCTGGAGAGGGGTGCACACCGAGCTCTTTCCTGGAACGTGGGGTGACAGGCGGGCCAGGAGTTCACTTTTCTGCTTTACAGTCTTCTGAGTCTTTTTTTTTTTTTGGCAAGGTTCATATATCATCTTTATCATTAAGATCTAATATTCTTCCTTTGTGAAAAGAAAAAAGTACCAGACAGGTGGTAGTTTCACTTTCCTTTGAAAGAGGAACCTGCCAACCCTGGGGGACAGGGACCAGTGTGGTGGCTTTCTCATCTACCTGGGAATCAGGCTGAGCTGCTCCTTCCTTGCTCAAAGCCCAGGGATCTCTCCCCTGAGAACCACCTGCTCCCTGCACAGCTGTGGGCCCCTTGTCTGTGGGCTGCCTGGAGCCTTTCCCCTTGTCCTCCCCCAAGCCCTGCCCCCAGGACGAAGGCAGGGCTCTTTGGCCGAGGAAGCTGCCTCCGGCCCCCTGGCCTGCTCTGGCCAGGCTGATGCGGTGGCCAAGATCACGGCAGCTCTGCATCCCTGGCCCTCAATGTTCCTTTCTGGGTGAGGTCCTTGCCCGAAGCAGAGAGACTGGAAATGGAACGAGGTGGTGAGCTGGGGACCTCCCAGACCTCTGCTGCCCTGGAATGCAAATGAAGGATGAAAATACACCTTCTCACCCTACCCCACGCAGCCCAGAGTCAGTCTCTGCTTCATGGTTTAGTGTCCAGAGTTAGGTTTTTGTTCTGTTTTGTTTTTTCATTTATATACTTTTATTTGGGAATGTTTAAATCAATACAGAGAAACTAAATTTCAGAGACACTGAATACATTAGTTTGGATATCATTACTTTATTGTAAAAGAAACACGGAAATTATTTACATGATGAAAGATTTCAGAACTTCAGTGGCAGCTTCACGTGATGCCATTTCAATAGTGACTTATTTTAGTCGACGTATTTTCCAAGAATGTCACCATCTCTAAATAAGAAATCATCCTTGTCATCTAGAACTACTTTGGTGCCTCCATATTCTGGGAGAAGAACTTTATCTCCAACTTTCACACTAACTGGTTGAATCTCTCCACCCTTTCCTTTAGAGCCTGATCCAACAGCTACTACCGTTGCTTGCAATACTTTTCCTTGTGATTTTTCTGGAAGCATAATGCCTCCTTTGGTTACAATTTCGGCTGCACTTCTTTCAACCTTCGCCTCCCTTCCCGGAAATCCAGAGTTAGGTTTGAACCAACTTTCTACAGGTTGTTCTCAGTCTGGGCTGCCGGCCCAGGTACCACCCTGACACCCTGGACTGTCCCCGTGTCCCCTCCTGTCCTGCCGCCTCTTGACACACCTGTGCCCCCTCCCTGTTTCCATTCCAGCTGCCCCACCCCCCCGCCCACCATGGCCTCCGCTGACAAGAATGGCGAGAGCATCTCCTCAGTGTCCAGGAGCCGCCTGCAGAGCCGGAAGCCACCCAACCTATCCATCACCATCCCTCCGCCCGGGACCCCGGACCCCAGTGAGCAGGCCAGCATGCTGCCCCAGGTAAGGGAGCAGCTGGGCGCTCGGCGCCCTGCCACCGGCCACCGCTGTGCTCCCATGACACCTTTCAGGCAGTTTCACTTCCCGGAGGAGGGCCTTCTGGAGCCACAGCTGCCCTGTGTCCCGGCTGTAGGCTGTACCCCATCCTTCCTGGCCCCACACTTCACAGGGGGTGGGCCCTGAGCTCAGTCTCTGTCTCATGGTGGGCCAGGGAAAATAAGAAACACTTGCCGGTTCCGCCTGGGAATTGGCTGTTTCCGTTCCCTTGCCCGAGCCCTGGCCCTTCTGCGGGCGGTGGGCTGCCTGTGACTTGGAGGAAGGGGCACAGCGCGCCTGCAGCACCAGCAGCTGGATCCCAGCACCCGGCTCCTGCGGGGGGACGGGGGGGAATCAACGTTGCCAGCAGTCCAGACCAGCGTTCCATAAAGAGCTCATTGAGAACTAGCTGCAAAGAGCATGGGCTAAAAAAAAAAAAAAAAAAAAAAAAAAGGCTTCCCTGTGGTGGCGCAGTGGTTGAGAGTCCGCCTGCCAATGCAGGGGACACGGGTTCATGCCCAGGTCCGGGAAGATCCCACATGCTGCGGAGCAGGTGGGCCCGTGAGCCGTGGCCGCTGAGCCTGCCCGTCCGGAGCCTGTGCTCCGCAACAGGAGAGGCCACAACAGTGAGAGGCCCGTGTACCGCAAAAAAAAATAAAAACAGCGTGGGCTCCCCGCGCAGCCTGGGGCACCGGGGAGGCTGTCTCATGCCGCCCACTCATGCCAAGGGCTCTTTCAAACATGTAAAGCCAGGCGAGGCCAAGGCTTAGCCACGGCTAAGGCCTAAGGCAGGAGCGCTGGATAGGGAGCTAGGGAAGCGTGTGCTGGGATCGCCGAAGACACTAGAAAATGATGATTTGACCCTCGGAATGAAAGCACCTTGGGGTAGACTCGGGTCGAGGTTTGTTCTGTCTGGGTCTTCACATTGGGAGCCAGAGCAGAGCCAGCCCGGGATCTGGGCTGCAGGCAGTCACAGCCCATGCTCCTGCCCGCTGTTCACAGAGACCCAGGAACCCAGCCTTCCTGAAGAGCGTCAGCCTCCAGGAGCCGAGGGCACGATGGCAGGAGGGCGGCTCGGAGAAGCGCCCCGGCTTCCGCCGACAGGCCTCCCTGTCCCAGAGCATCCGCAAGTGAGCACGCCCGCCGCGTCTCCACCTCCTCCCCACCCACCCTGGGCCAGTCAACTCTTGGGACCTGGGCCCTGGGCCCTTCCCGGGAGGCACGGGCAGGCAGCCCATGGTCCGGGCGGGGAAACTGAGGCCCAGGCTGCTCTGTGCCTGGTAGGAAGCCACAGTGAGGAGGCTGAGGGGAGTCAGGGAGCTGGGGGTGGACCACTGCCCTTCGGAGCAGCTGCTGGGGCCTTCCCAGCTCAGCCCTCAGGCTCTTGACTTGAATCCCCCTCTGCCCATCTGGTTCCTGGGCACCGAACCAGGGGTCAAGGGGAAGCTGATCTGCCCCTCCCACTGCGTACACACACACACGTGCCCCGTCACCTCCCACTGCACACACACACGTGCCCCGTCACCTCCCCTGCACACACACGTGCCCTGTCACCTCCCTTGTACACACACTCGTGCCCCGTCACCTCCCTTGCACACACACAGTGCCCCGTCACCTGCCACTGCACACACACTCGTGCCCTGTCACCTCCCCTGCACACACACGTGCCCCGTCACCTCCCCTGTACACACACACTCGTGCCCGTCACCTCCCCTGCACACACACACGTGCCCTGTCACCTCCCCTGCACACACACGTGCCCGTCACCTCCCTTGTCTCCTCTCTGCGCACATGGCCTTTCTCTCATTGTGGTCGCTCCCGCAGGGGCACGGCCCAGTGGTTCGGGGTCAGCGACGACTGGGAGCTGAAGCGCCAGCACTGGCAGCGCAGGAGCCTGCACCACTGCAGCGCCCGCTACGGCCGGCTCAAGGCCTCGTGCCAGCGGGACCTGGAGCTCCCCAGCCAAGAGGTGCCCTCCTTCCAGGGCACCGAGTCTCCAAGACCCTGCAAGATGCCCAAGGTGGGCTCCAGAGGGGGGTGCGGGGCAGCAGATGACTTGGCCCAGGGCCCAGTTGACTCTGCTCACCACCTCCCTCCTATCCAGATTGTGGATCCCCTGGCCCGAGGACGGGCGTTCCGCCACCCGGACGAGGTGGACCGGCCCCACGCCCCGCACCCACCCCTGACCCCTGGGGTCCTGTCCCTCACCTCCTTCACCAGCGTCCGCTCCGGCGGCTATTCCCACCTGCCCCACCGCAAGAGGATCTCTGTGGCCCACATGAGCTTTCAAGCTGCCACGGCCTTCCTCAAGGTAAAGACACCTCTGCCCAGCCTGCTCCCTCTCTCTCCCCAGAGCATCTCATTCCCCAGGCATCTCTCTCCCCCCAGAGCATCTCTCTCCCCAGGCATCTCTCTCTCCAGAGCATCTCTCTCCCCAGAGCATCTCTCTCCCCAGGCATCTCTCTCTCCAGAGCATCTCTCTCCCCAGAGCATCTCTCTCCCCAGGCATCTCTCTC